TAGTGAATGTCTCCATTTTTTAGCACAGGTAATCAAAGGAGGCTTTTCTGTATTTGTGGACAGATATGATTCTACATTAGCTGTCTCTTTTAAATAAAAGGAAATAGGATAGCAGAGGGTCAGCATCTAAATAACTATAACAGACTTAGTTTATGTGACTCATTGTTGAGTAATGTCTTATTCATTTGTTTGTTTTCTCCTTTATGTCACTGTTGTGGCAAAGGAGCATTGCTTGTATTTTTACTCTTCTACCAACTCCCTGGTTTTCTCATGAAGGTCTTCTTCAGGTAGATCATCTCTTCATTTTAAGAATTCTTTGGCTTTAGCTTGAAGGAAGAAAACTTAGGCCTCTCCCTACCTCTGGTCTCCCCATCTGAGATCAGGAAAGAATCCAGTGGTCCTATTTGTTCCTACGGCAGCTATTTAACTTATTATTTAAGTTATTACTTGATCACTACTGCTTTCCATGTTTAACAGATTCCAAGGTTAGGTCTTCACTGAGGTTCCCTTAGGAACCACTAGTACTAGTAGATTCCTTGGCTCTTTTTCTGTCACCTCATTCCCAATTTCTTTCTATCTTCAAGGAATTCTCCAACATGCCAACTTATGCACTGGTGATCTTTCCCATTTTCTGGAACAACTATTCTTTCAAGTTAACTATAAAAAGTGGGACATTTAGAGAGAGAATATTAATACATACACACACACACACACAAGCTCAGTCCTCCTTTTTAAGAGAAACTGCAGTCTTTGCTTATAATTTGGGGTGGGGACAAAGGGAATAAAGACCTATGTACTAAGAAAAGAAAATCTCCTTTTCTAAAAATTCTTCCCACTTTCAGGAAAGTCTTGCTAACTTTCTTTCTCCACAGGTCTCAGTCTCCTGACATTAGGCCTAGCTCTGTTCTTTTCTCACTGGCTCTTCTTAGATCTTTTCCTCAGTGTCTTACAAGAAAGAGATGAAGCAACAGTCCTCTCCACCTAAATGAGGTGGCCAGTTAAGTCATTTGCCAACCTGAAAAATTTCAGTAATTTTTGGGGGTTTTTATTTGGTAATAAGTGGAGAGAGTTCATATGTAATTGTAGGTTTATTTGAATTTCAGTTTTTGAGCCCCAGAAAGATGGCCTTGTTTTTGTTAACTGAAATAATTGGTTGCAGCCAAAAGACTAAATGTACTGGTCATTCAGGAAGAAAAATAATGCGACCCAAAAAAGCCCAACTAAATCCACTTTTATCACTGAAATTTGGTCAATCACCAACATTCTGAAAAGCGATGTCATTTCAAATATTACAAAATTCCATACAAGTCAGGGAAGTATCAGACATTAACGATAAGTATTTAATAAAATATCTGCCCCTCTATCTATCTTGCTCCAGACTACCAATCAAGAGATAAAGTGAAGAAAAACAAAATACTCCATGTCACTAATTAAAAAGTAAATGCTCAGTGCCTGTTTCAAAAGGTCAAGTCCAAAATGAGAATGTGCATCATCCCATTATTGGATTAGCATGTAGATAAAGCAATAAAAACTCCAGGCAGAGGGTCAGTGGGTTCTTAAGGTTTATGTGGAATAGCACACATCTTGGCAGCCACTATGGAGGGCAGTTAATTTAAAGGACAACCTCTTCACCCACCCAGATATATGGGTTTGTCTAAAGGGGTGTGTGTGTGTGTGTGTGTGTTGTGTGTGTGTGTGTGTGTGTGTGTGTGCTGGGAAGGGAGGTAGGACTAGCAAAATTAGGAGAATAAAATTTCCCCTTCTCTGTAGATTGTGTCTGAATGTTGATAACTCTCTAGTCTTCCTCCTCAGACAGAGTAGGTATTAAGGCTGCAGGTTGTTCTTAAGCAAATATAGTCATAATCCTGATGTGCTGATAACAAAACACATCAGAGAAATTCTAATCTTTTCAAGAAGTAATATAAGAGACAATCATTGCATTTTACTCATATACTATAAAAGTAAAATATTACTGGGCCTCCCCAGTGGCACAGTGGTTGAGCACTGGGTTGCAAAGCTGCCTGCAGCCTCTGCAGCGCTGGTTCGATCCCCGGCCACCGGCGAGGGTCCCACATGGCACGCAGACCTATCCTGCCGTGCCCGCTGCTCCCCTCAGCAGTGTACTTCGTCAGTCTGCCTGTTCTGCTCTCCACTCTGGCTCTACTGAATTCTCTCACCCTCCCCCACTTCTGACTGTACCCCAGTGCTTGTATAAATAAATAAATAAATCTTTTTAAAAAAAAGGTAAAATATTACTGGCATTAAAACATCAAAATTGAAAATAAATTCATATAAATAAAGTACTAAAAATGGTCACCCTCTGTTCCTGCCCTGCATGGAAAAGCTATTGGTTAACTAATCTGAACTCTTTAGCACAATTTCACCCAAAGTGTTTGTCCTCTCAAAGAGTCAGACAAGTTTACTTTCTCATGGATACAGTTTAAAGTGGCTGTTGTTCCCAAATCTTGATATATCTTATATCTTAAAAGATAGATGTTCAGCTTCTATACAGAGATTTAACTTTCAAGTTTTAACGCCACATAATTGAGGAGTTTGAAGATCAGGCTATTTGGAGGGCAGAACTAGGGAAAAAACCCTACTAGAGTTCAGAATTAGAATTCACATTACATCTTTCCTTATGAGGAAAAATTAAAAGTTAAAGGAAAATGTTGCTATTAATACCATAAATCAATGGCTTTTGATTGCTATCTCAGATCCTAACAATTTATGATACTGTGTCTATATTACATTTCCTTGTACAAGTATAATATAAATATAACCTAGTGCAATTCAATCCTATTACTATCAGCATTATATTTTAACTATCTATATCTTTTCAACATATAGCAAAATACCTTCCATACAGTAGATTTTCACATAATATACGTGGTTGGAATGCCCAGTTGTCTGTCTGCCCTATAAATTGCCACAAAAACATAACAGTTTATAAAATTATCATCAACTGTTTGAAATCATTACTGCACATTCCTATAAGACAGTATGCCATGGGGAGAAAGACACCTTTACCAAAATTTTTTAAACTGCAAATAAATGAACTAGTACTTTAATTGCAATGCAGAATGTGCTTCTTAATTATAATTCTATCATTAAAAAATGGCTTATTTAGGGCCTCCCTGGTGGTGCCAGGGGTTAAGCATAGCACTGTGAAGCTGTCTGCAGCCTCTGGAGCACGAGTTCAATCCCCGGCCAGGCAGGGAGCTAGCCACATGGTGCAGCAGACCTCTCCTGTCTTGCCTGCTGCTCTCCTCAGCAGTGTATTTCAGTCTGCCTATTCTGTTCCCCACTCTGTCTCTGGTGAATCCTCTCACTCCCCCACACCTCTGGTGTGTACTCCAGTTCTTGTACGCATACATAAATAAATCTTTACAAAAATGGTTTATTTAAAAAGTTAAGGTGTGTATTATGACATTGGAAAAAAAAAAGAAAAGGTACTTTAGAAAGCAATCAGAGTTTGACACATTTAAAATATACATCATTTTTATCTTTCATCATGACAAATAGCCAAACTAACATAATAGCTACCAATAATCATTGCTGTTATGATCATAACATAGGATTCACTTAGAAAAAGGGTATACAAGTCACCTCTCCCAGGGATATTTAAGTCACATAATCCTCTACTGCCTGCTGCTGACTCTTGAGCTGTTCACAGACAGAATGCACAGAGCAGCCCACTAACCGCTGCCCTCCTGATGGATTAAGTAACTTTTCATCTGATAAGATTTCTTTTAAAAACACTTTTTCTTAGACTCTATGTCTCTACAGTGTCACTTAATATTATCCCATCTTTGCTGCACCAACTTTGCTGCATTATTTTTTAATTGCAAAGATTTTCTGAGTTTTTCTGCCATTTGTACTTTTTGTCCCTTCCCCCACCTGAATGTCCCCAATTCTCTACCAGTTAAAATGGTATTTTTTCAGAGCTCTTAAGTTCTGAGTTAATATTAACTGAACTTAATTAAAATTTCTTTACTATTCTCAAACAGAGTAAACAAACTTAAACTCATTTGTTCAAGATGAGTTCACTACTGTCCTCTTTCTGAAATGACTTGTCAGGAAGGCTTACTCAAACAGTTGGAGATTAAACTTGTGATCCTTTTGAGACAAAACCCACCAATGTTGAGCCTGCTCTAATGATATCCTTATTTTATAAACTGACTTATGCTGTGATTAATGACTCTTTCCTAATGAGGCAGCTGAGATGCCCTCATAGGATATATCAGAATCACTGACAGGAAAAGGAGAAAGGTAGTCTGAAAAAGTGCATTCGATTCTATATGAAAACTGTATTTAAAATTTGAAAAAAGGGCCTCCCCAGTGGCGCAGCGGTTGAGCATAGGGATGCGAAGCTGCCAGCAGCCTCTGCAGCGCCAGTTTGATCCCCGGCCACTGGCGAGGGTCCCACATAGCATGCAGACCTCTCCTGCCATGCCTGCTGCTCCCCTCAGCAGTGTACTTCGTCAGTCTACCTGTTCTGTTCCCTGCTCTGGCTTTGGTGAATTCTCTCACCCTCCCGTGCTTCTGACTGTTTACTTACTTACCCAGTGCTTGTATAAAATAAATAAATTAAATCTTTAAAAAAAAAAAGATTGAAAAAAAGTCCACTATTTCCTAACACAAACATGATCCCAGTTAAGAGTATCATCATTTAGTGGATAGGACAATGAATGAAAAAAAGTAATATAATATATACTAATTAACAAATAGTGTGGATCTTAAAAGTGAAATGAGCAGATGCCCAGCATTTTATTTTATATGCCAAATTTATTAGAAATTGTGGCAATATTTTTAGCCTACCATTCGTGAAAATGTTTCTAAAATTTTAATTTACAATTGGCAGAGAAGGAAAAAAAAAAGATGGAAAGATGGAAAAAAACATAGAAAAATAATTCCACCCTCTCAATCAGTAATAAAACTAAACACCATTTGTGGAAGATGATACAGTCTACAGCACAGACAGAATGGATGGATGTACTCACCTCAGTTAAATGAGGATTGGGATTAAAACCACAGAGACTGCAGACAGTGGTTTGACACTCTGTGCATGTGTTAAAGTTGGCCTTTTCTGGAACATGCAACAGAAGTTCAGTGGTATTGCAAAGAGGACAGATGGTTTTGGGGAGGCCTTGTACTGGAGTATGTGCTGCAGATGGAGAAGTTGAGGGCTGCAGAGATCTCCTAGCTCCGGTTTGGCTTATTGGTTTTGTAGATTGCTGAACTGAAGGCTTTGCTGGGATAGGCTGTTGAGCTGAAGGCTTTCCTGGGGCAGGCTGTTGAGCTGAAGGCTTTGCTGGGGCAGGCTGCTTAGCTGAAGGCTTTGCTGGGGCAGGCTGCTGAGCTGAAGGCTTTGCTGGGGCAGGCTGTTGAGCTGAGGGTTTTGCTGGGGCAGGCTGTTGAGCTGAGGGTTTTGCTGGGGCAGGCTGTTGAGCTGAGGGTTTTGCTGGGGCAGGCTGTTGAGCTGAGGGTTTTGCTGGGGCAGGCTGTTGAGCTGAGGGTTTTGCTGGGGCAGGCTGTTGAGCTGAGGGTTTTGCTGGGGCAGGCTGTTGAGCTGAGGGTTTTGCTGGGGCAGGCTGTTGAGCTGAGGGTTTTGCTGTACCGTGCAGTTGAGGTGAGGGCTTTGCTGGGCTAGTCTGTTGAGCTGAGGGTTTTACAGGGGCAGGCTGTTGAACTGGAGTCTTTCCTGGCCCAGGTTGCTGTGCTGAAGCCTTAGCAGGCCCAGCAGGCTGAGTTAGAGAGTTTGGCCCAGGTTGCTGAGATGGAGGTCTCTCTGACCCAGTCTGTTGAGCTTGAGGTTTTGCAGGTCCAACAGGCTGAGCTGGAGACTTTGGTGCAGGCTGCTGAGCTGTAGGCTTTGTTATCCCTGGTGGTTGGGCTGGGGGCTTGGTTGCCAGCTGCTGAGGTGGGGGCTTTGCTGTACTTGGCTGTTGAGCTAGGGGCTTCATTGGTCCTGGCTGCTGAGCTGGGGGCTTTGTAGGCCCAGGTTGTTGTGTAGAAAGTTTTTCAGGTCCAGGCTGCTGAGCTGCAACTTTTCCAGGACTTGCTTGCTGAATAGGTGGTTTGGAAGGGCTTTGTAGTGAGGGTTTAATTGATTCTCCCTTTACTGTGTCTGACTGTTTACTTTGAGGCCTAGCCGTATCCCTTTGAAGTGACAATTTTGCCTGGTCTGTCTGAGGAGACGGGGTGAGGCCCTGAATTGGCTTTCCTGTGCCTGGAGGTTGTGATTTAGTTTTTTCTGGTTGTTGAGAAGATAGTGATTTGGGCGAGCCTTCCCGCTGAGGCGCGGCCCTCACAGGTCCTTGCGGCTTAGGAACTGACTTGGGTGACTGTTGTGATGGGGGTTTTGTGATCCCTTCAGATTTTCCTTGTTCCTTCTGAGCCACTTTTTGTTTCTTGGCGGTTTCTTCCTGGGATGCATCAGAGTCTGATATCAAATCAAAAGGATTGAATTTATTTACAACAGAAGAGACAGCGCTTAAAGGGTTAACCTCAGAGAAGAAACCAGGCATCATACTAGATTTGTGCTCTTCCTTAAAATCAGTTCTAGACTTCGATTCTTTCAAGCTAATAGTGGAAGGACTCCTTCCAGGCAATTTTTGCTCTGACCTGAAAGTGTCTGTAGTTCTACTTTTACTGAGACCAGGCTGAGTTGGACGCCCAGGGTCTGGTGGTTTTCCAGGTTGTTTTGGAGGATGACTACTATCCAACTCTGGTTTCCTAGAAAAGTAAAAGAAAACAAACTGAAAATAATGGAAATTATTCTAACTCTACATAATATTGAAAAACTACTACTTTCTTCGTCATCAAAATTATGAATGTATACAAATTTAACTAGAATCTTTTTTGCATCATCTCCTAAGTGATTATAACATTTTGATGTCATTATTCCTTTCTTTATATGAGTAGTTTCAACAGAGGTATAAAAAAGAAAAAAATATGCCCTAATACAAGTGATCAAAACTTAAGATATCTAATTAGAAAGTACTTAATAAAAAAAAAAATCACATTTATACTTCATAGACTCTGGCCATATTTAAAACCTGATTAAATACATTAATGCCTAGATCAATGCAACACAATATAATACATACATTTTCACAGGACGTGTCACTTTTGATCAAATGTTATATTCCAAAAAATGTTAGCCTCCTAAACACTATCAGCACTAAGAAGTAAAAATACTCATTTCGAAATGTAGGAGTTTGCTGTAATTTTTTTCCACTGGATTATAAGAATTACATTAGTTAAATTAAGCACACAATATGACAATGTGTGAGTTTCTGATAGAGGACATTGTTGATATGGTACCTTTCTAGAGGCTCTGAGAAAGTTGATAATTTATTCAATTTTGTCCTATTCTGTCTAAAAGGATTATCCATCAAATATTGTGTATATTAAACTTTACAGAATGAGAATTTTATAGAAACTTTGGTTACTTTAAAATTTTTAAGAAACAAATTCAGTCTTCCAACTTTCTTGTGGAATAATACTGTTATGTCATTTAATTATTTTTCCAATTGCTAATTCTTGACCTAGATATCTATGCAAATTAACAATAGTTGTTTAAAAGAAATTGAGGTATAGTTTGGTATGCAAATAACAACAAGCTGATTGTGATCTAACTTTTAAAAACTATTGCTACTTTTCTCAGATGAAGAAAATACATAATAATCTCTTTACTCACTGCTTTCTACATTTACTATTGCCATTGTTAGATTATTACTTATGTCATTTATTATTGACATCAAATTTTAAATTTAACAAATAATTAATTTGCAAGATTTCTTTCAATTTGTAGATAAATATACTAGATTTTTAAAAATAGTATTGGAAACATGATCGATTTTAAATTACTATGGTTAAATACTAAAAGTAGTTGTTTAGCCAAAAATCAAGTACATTAATTTTTTAAATGAGCCATCATTTACTGATATAGTCACATTAATAACAACATGCAACATTAGGATTATAGAGAACATCAAATTACAAGTATTTTCTTTGATATTTGTAGTTATTTATTTTGAAAAATATTTCCTCTTAGTTAAAAGAAAAAAGGAGAAAGAAATAGATCTAGTAACACTTAAAATATTAGATGATAACAATAAAATTCTACAGATTTTAATTTGGTTTATCAAGATTTACCTGCTAATGGATCAAACTACAAAATTATTATTTCACATTATTTGGCACTTAATGTGGATTAATGTTTTGAAATTTCCCTATTGACCTAGAATTTTAGTACAGAAAAAATGTAAGACATAGTAGAAACACAAAAAACATACTTCTAAAACTAAAGACTCAGAAAGGAAGCAAATGATCTATAAATGAGAATGTATGTACAAAGTGATTTTCTAATTAAAGACAAATAGAATTCTTAGTTTGGGTAATTTTCTCCAGGGAAAAAAGTTACAAAAACTTAGATATCACCAAATTTCTGAAAACTACATTTAAATAGGGAATTAGAATTATTACCATACTTAATTCCAAAGTTCTAAGATGAACTTTTAAATGCATTGCTACATGTTTTCATTTGGGAAAAATAATCTCTTTATAGGCCTCCCTATCTGCTCCTTTCTATATTAAGGATGAAGGCAGAAAGGCCAAAGTAAACAAACTAAAATAGAATATTTAAAAAATTTCCCCTGTATAGCTTTTCACATTATCCTAGAAATGTTCTAGATTCAATTAGAAAATTTAATACTGCCTTGAAGATCGCATGGTTAGGGAATATGTTATAGAAATAAGTAACTATCTTATAATTATTTAGGCATTTGATTGAATTGGCTGCCTTGTACAGAGACGTGCAAATCATATTTTAAACAGACTAAAAAAAAAAAAATCTACTCTGAATTTTACTGAATTGTCCTGTCTTGAAAATACTATTAAACTTATTTTAATGACTGATTTTGTGATATTATTCACTTAAGCCAATCTATGTACAAAACAAATGAAAAAATAAATTTCAGGAATACCAAATATTTGGGATAATAATATATACCAAATTGAAAGCAAGCTGACTGCAAACACTTCCTAAAAATATACACTGTATAATATTATAGAATCCCCAATGAGAAAATACCTCTGTAGCTATAATGACTGCTCCATAATTTCAACTTAGTTTTAGTTGCTATAATTATGTTAACAGAAATATAACATGGGGATCTGGGAGCAAGGGGCAGAAAGATAACATTAAGAAAGGATACAGTCTTAATATCAAACAAAAATATAAAAATACCTTAGTTAACTGTGGTCTCTGGTGTATTTTTGTTGCTTTAACAACTGTTAGGTAAAAAGAAAAATGACTAAAATACACTATATGTCTTGTATACTAGACTGTGAACTCCTAGACAGAGAATTTTCACTCATCTTCACATTACTAGAATTAAACCTGCTAACTAGTAGATAAGCATTAAAGTTTGATGGGTAGATGAATAAGTAAATAAATGAGTGAATGAATGAATGAACAGATTTTTGTTTTTCTCTAAAATTTCTTGAATTTGTTTTACTTTACATTTTTCTATAGGCCTTCTGAAAAAATATGAAAACATTTTGTATAATCAGGATTTGTCCTGCTGTTCCAGGAGGAAAAAGAGTTGTAGAGGTCTCTACCCATTCAAAGAGGCCCAAAGGATGCTAAAGAAAATAATCAATTCTGTTGGAAATCTTATATTTTACTAATCAAAGGTGTTTTTCAATAACGGTCTTCTCATATAACATATCTGTAGCTGTAAATAGAATGAATGGAAAATGCGATAAAATTGCATTTCCCTAGATCTACAATGAATCAAAAATCCAGGAGCAATTCATCTGAAACTTGTCTTCTTGTAGCTTGTAACATCCATGTTTTAAACAACCTCCCTTTTCATTTCATTACTGTCATCCACAGACTAGAATTTACTTTCACAGGTTAGCAGAAAAACTGTTTCATGTACAAGTGAGATAAACATGTTTTCAAGACTAAGAATGAAAATGCAACTGGAATGCTAGCATTTTTGTAATGTAAAATAGGCAATGAAACTTAACTGACAGTGCTGAGTCACATAAAATTTTTTACATTAGAACTATAAGGAACTTCAAGAATAACTACTCATTTTAATTCTGTAGAGAATACTAGGAACTAAGAGAATAAGGGATTGGTTCAATGTTATAAAAATAGTCAAGAAAATATGGTATCCTGACTCCTGGCAGGGGTGGGGAGGATGTCCACTATATATTGCACTGATTTCTCCAAATGCAAAATACAGGTAGATAAAAATAACTCATAATTCAATAATGCAACATACAACTTGCTTGTAACCTTCCTGCCTATCACTGCAGATACTGCTATTAGTGTTCTTTATATTTATAGAGTTCCTTCAAATTAAAAAACAAAACAGACATTCTCTTCAAATTTTAATAGATCCTCACAATGTGCCTACAAGATAGGAAGACAAGTATCACTTGCTTTATTTAGAGGCAAGGAAACTGAACAACATATGGTTGAAAAACATATGTAATTTTTCATGAGTCAGTAAAAGTCAGATAATATCCTAGATCTCTGGGTTCTTAACTCTTATTTCTTTAAAAAATAAAATAAAATCCCACCACGTCTAATTTACACCACCTCAACTCTGAAAACTGCAAATAATATAGATATACTTTCTAATATATACCAAATGTATCTCAATGATAGAACAATTGTTTCACTGGCTTCAGATAAGGACACAAAAAAAAAAAAAAAAAAAAATACAAAATCTTTATAAAAATCTTTCAGCAAAAAATAAGAGATCACAAAAATAAAAAATTACTTGGTGAAGCTTTCACCAATAACTACTTAGGCTACAGGTTGCCTATTAGTTTTGTTTGTTTTTTGTGTGTGTGTGGGGACCCTCACCTGAGGCCTGGGAACGAACTGGCGCTGCAGAGCCTGCGGGCAGCCTCGCAGCCCAGCGCTCAACCGCTGCGCCACCATGGGAGACCCATTGCCTATTAGTAGAATTCCACCATAACAAAATTATCAATAGAGTTATAAAGGTATGATGTCTGATACAAATATTGCACAAAACAACAGTTTGGTAAGCCGAAATAACATTTTTTCGGCCACCCTTTGAACAGAAGAAAAGTTAAGAATTTAGAAATAATAGCTCATACTTTTCTTAATAATTTTAACCAGCATGCTAAACCTGTTGCTTGGGCCCCTGAGGAAAAAATTGTAAAAGAGCTAACATACATTTCTAAAAAAACTAATTAAAAGTATTACACCTCATTCTATCCTATGAAACTCTATGAGTGTTCAATTATTTTCCAAGTTTTAATCAATAGAGAAAATAATAACTATTATATGCTGCGCTACTAAGGTAATGGATAATAAAGCTGTTACACCAAAGAAATATATTAGTATGAGTTTTAAAACAAAGAATATTCAATATAAAGGAAATAGTTTTTACGACTAGTATGTTATCACTTCAAGGAAACAGGGTTTTACATATGGTGGATTTTAGGCATCTAAAGTGTTAATGTAAAAAATAGTATCACAATCTATGAAACACTTTACATTTCTATGCTATAAATTTGACATCATAATTATTGGTCAAAATTATACAAATATACTTATGTGATAGTTCTTCAGTTAACATGTTTTTGTTTTACTAAGTAAATGGTAAAATTCTGCACCTATATATCCAGATCTCTCCTATTTCTAATCTCAAATAAAAATTGTGGGTTGTCCCTTATTTATCATAAAGCAGGAATGGTTTCAGGACCACGGACAGACAACTGTTCTCAACTGACAGTGCAAAGTTAAAGGGTTTGTTTACAATGATCAAGGCAGGGCAGGCACGATGATTATACCCTTTTAGTATTCTAATTAGAAAACAACTGACTTATTAGGCTGAAGAAAAATGAAAAGCCAGAGAGAAAAATAAACAAGCTAACATTACAGATGAGCTCTAAATTGCCTTTGCTAGTTGTCATTTACTTGCTTTGTTTTTAAAAGGATGTATTGGAAACTAATTTTAAGATGACACAAATTCACAGGTCCTTCCACAAATTGTAAGCCACTTTTGTATATAAGAGAGCAGTGGTTTAAAAAAATAGCAAATGCTAATTCAGAGATACATATACAATACCTGTTCTGCTGTGACCAAACCATCTGTTTAATGCCACAGCATATTTTAAGGTCCCTTACTGAACAGAAAAGGTGTTTTCATTCTATACTTTCTACCTAAAGAGCTTCTGTCAGGGTGGGAGCTGGGTTGGAGCTGGGTGGGAAGGAAGGACAAATCACCTCCAGGGGAATTAAAGGTATCATTAAGAGATATTTAGACACCATTCATAGAGGAAAAACAAACAAACAAACAAACAAACAAACCGAAATACCCGAGGAGGTTTAAACCGAGACAGATAAACATCCAGCTCACACCATTTCCCAAAACGTCCGTTTTATATTAATGGAAGACTTCCAGATTAGTAAAACCCTGGAGGGAGGGTGTCTCTCCACGCCATGCTAGAGGCAAAGGTTACAAAAGGCCAAAAAACACAACCTGAAATCACAGTCCAAGAATGCAACCCTTGACTATCCCACCAGAAACTCTACAATGCATCGTTTTGATCCTGCCCATCAGCAGGCTTATCATCTCTTCATCGCCACCCCATTAGGGAAAATAAAATGAACGGAAACGACATATATGTACTGCCGTGCTCGCACATACGGGCTGGCACATATGTGCAAGGGAAGCTATACATATATGCCTGGACATATACATCATGCTGTGCGTGCCTGTGCGAGGAAGACGGCTCCGCAGTGGCCGAGGGAACGCTTCCCTTGGGCAGCCCCTGCGCCCTTGACATGACAGCGGCGATCTGTCTCCTCTCCTCTTCGCTCAGCTGGCTCAGATCCGCCTCCATGCCGGCCGGGAGCGCGGTGTGCGAGGGGCTCCCCGCCCCGCCAGTCCCTCCTCCGGCCGCGGCCGCCAGCCCTTCGGGGAGCCCTTCCCCTTCCAGGCTCGCCTCGTTGCCCATGGCTCAGGAAGACTCGGGGCCGCCGCGCTCCCTCCCGGTACCGCGTCCCCGTCGGGAAGCCCGCGGCCCACGGAGCAACCGGAACCGGGGTCCGCCGCGGGGCGTGCGGGCGGCGAAGTCCCAGGGCTGGGGACCCGGCACAGCTGGCCGCAGCGGCCGGCGGGGGTTAGTCCCAATGGCAGGTGACGCCCGCGACCGGTGCCTCCTCCATGTTGGGCAACGCCAGGCAACCTTGGCAGAAGACGCCTCCCCGACGCCGCCTCAGCGCCCGGAGCCGGGGAGAAGCAGATCTGAGCGGTGCCAGCCGGGCGCCGTCTGCCCCTCCCACCGAGCCCCGCCTCCTGGCCCGCGCCCTCGCAATGCGCATGCCCGGCGCGGAACAGGTGATGCTCGCGTCCGCGCCCACCTCGCGCTGCGTCGCTCCGTCTCCTTCTCACTCTCGGCGCCCATTTAAAGGAGCCCGGCGAGGGCACAGCTGAAAACCTGGACGGAACGGCGGAGGCTCCGTTCAGGCATAAGTCAGGATGCCTCGACCTGACTTTTAGCAGACTGCATTCAAAGGCGGGTTGCGGGGTGGGGAGAGGTAAGAGGGGGAGTCTGGTCCAACTTTGGCTCATGGGATTTGTAGTTTCAATTTTTTTCTTTTTTTAAAAGGAAGCTTTTGAAAGATCCACGGCTTCAAGTAACTGAAAATGAACAGAAAAAACTTCTGATACCTGTGGACAACATTTCCCAAAAGGAGATAGACTGGCCTTTTGCATTTAGAACTTCCCCGGGACAACTAGATTAAAACCTTACATACAGCATTGGTGAGCAGGTGAGGTTTTGAGTACGTCAAAAGCTGTGTTGTTGCCTAAAGGTACTGCACAAAATTCAAGGATTATGGGAAATTGTGGTGGGCTTCAGTAATAAGAGCCACATTGTACAACGTTAAAATGTTACAGTAGTGTGAAATTTTGAAAACATGCATTCGATCTTTCTTTTGCACAAACGTGGACAGTAAAACGTAAAATGGTGAATTACAGTGTATAGTAGTTATGCAATTCATTAGCAACAGAGAATTAGCACTCTTTCAGACCGACTTCCCACCCACAGGTCAACGCATAATATCATTCTCTCTCCCTCTCCTCTTCTCTCCTCCCCCTCTCCACGGCCCCCTCCTGCACCCCATTACATTTCTAGGAAGGGAAGTTTTAGTTAAGCACTGAACTGGATTTGCAGCCCAGTTTTGCCTACCCACCTTTCATAATAAATGGACTTAGTATCTCAATTGTAGAGGTTAAAGAAAATCAAAGGCTAACCATTTGGGAATGAATAAAATAAACAGAAGTGAATATTATCTCAGAAGTTTCTAAAGTTTTCACAGTAACAATAGTTTGATATTGTATATCCCACTTGTATCAGAACTAAAAAGGGGCAGTTACAACAATTTGTGACTACATATACTGCTTTTAAAGATAACTAGTAACCAGATGAAGTATCATTTTTGGTCAAGTTTCTACTAAAATTACATACACATTAATTCTTTTCATAACAAACTGAAATGTGATTTCCAAAAGCAAAATTGCAGAGTGATTCATTTAAATAAAGAAGAGTAAACTCTCAGTTCAGACAGACAAATCAAGCCAAGACAACCTGACATTTTGATGACCTTTTGGAGCAAATACTTTGTTCATATTTACTAGAAATCAGTTTGCTTCAAAAGAGAGAGATGATTAGCTACGCAACCCTGAATCATAAAACCTTCCCTGACCAAAAATAAATAAATAAATAAAATTAAATAACTGTTCTTTGGCTCAGTCTGCTATTACTGGGGATCAGTAACCATCTAGATACTGGTGAGGAAGAGTCATCACATGCTGGCTGTTTTCTGTTAACTGTTCAAGGTTTATTAGATTAAAATATATTTGATGTGTTCACATCCACACACCACAGTCTTCAAAAATTGGTAAGATTAATACCCTTTCAAATGCTTACCTTCAGAATATTTTCAAACTGAGAAAATATACCAACATTATATTCTTTTCCATTGTAGATACAAACGCATCTGTGAAGCAATAAGAAATAAGTGATAATCAACATGCAAAATAATGTCAGTAGGCTAATCAAAAGCAATCCTTTGTAAGATTATATTATAGTCCATTGTATCAAAAATATGCATTCATCTTTTCTTTTCCTCTCTAAGAAACAAATATCATCAGAAAATGGAAATGGGATACAAGGTGAGGAAAGTAAATGGACTGTGAAAACAAGGGATGATGTGATGGTGCCACTTGGGAAACATGTTAGTTGACTTTTTTAAATGATTTTGCCCTTGGGAATTTTATAACTGAGCTATGAATAATGTTTCTTTTTTCCTCCACTTGGGCTTAAAGTTGCTTGTACTTGGAAGGTGATTCTGATCTAAAGAGAACTAGGGCATGCATTCCTTATGTGTGGGTTCACATAAATGTAAAGGTACAAAGGATGAAGAGTTAAATGCTGCCAATAACTTTATGGAGTTCCTCTTTCTTACCCTGAAGAATATTATTAGCTTCATTCTTTAATTAACTAACAGTAGTATATTCAAAATCCTAGTTGCTTCCTGTTTGTTGTTATTGTAATGAACATTTATTTGAATTTAGATCAATTTAACAAACTGATAGTTCTGTTCCAGTTCATTCATCCTAATATGTACGGGTATAAATGGAATCAATTTCTGAAGCCCTTCACTGTTCTATACCATTATGTTTTTCTAAAAAGACTATTCAACTCCAGAACACTGGATCTTTTTCTCTTGTTTAATTTTTGTCTTAGTTTCCCAGATAGTTTCTATTTTAATAGATTAGAGCTAATATAACTGTGATAGTTAACAACTAAACATGACTAAATAATGATTCTCTGGAATAGGGTGACCCAGTCTACTTGTGTCATTGCAGATAGCTGTCAAATCAAGCTAAAACCAAAGGAACACTTTATGTGTAGTCACATGTGCAATATTTGAAATAAATGGACTTCATGAAAATGAAAGTCAGGATAGTCTTCATTGAAAACAGAAAAATGAGTGGTCTATTATGTATTAACTATTATTTAAATATTAGTTAAAAATCTTCAACAATTCATTTAATTGAAAAGAACAGTATATATTTTATAAATTATTAAGCAAAATACGAATATTGAATTGCCTATTGGAATAAATATTGAAATGCCTATTATTCCTCATTAAATATAATACTTTATAACATTATAATTAACATTATAATCATTTAAGAACCACAAAAATAACACAACCTGTTAAGGTAGGGAACCAAAATACTAACCTCTTTTTATAATAAATGCCCTCTGAAGAAAATCAAGAAAATGACACAGTTTATACTAACAACAGTGATTTTATATGATGTGAGTGATAAGACTCAAAGTATTCTTATATTTTCTGTATTTAGCGTCCATGCATTTTTAGTGTATATATGGATGTATATATACATATTTGTATATAGACAATATGACATAATTTTTATATATGTGCAAATATTTTTAACTGCTCCTTCTCTGATAGAGGATAAGAGAGGATTATGTTAACATAGTAGAACAAGAACCTGCAGTGACTAAGGGGCCAGCTTCATTTTTTTACTATGGTTGAGCTGTTTCTCAATTGCTATCCTCAGCCATTTTTGTTAACTTTGCTTTTAAATGAGTATGGAGGAAATTCAAGCTAGATTACAGTTGATTATAAACTGGCTTCTCAATTTTGTGGGAAAAAACATGAGAAGTGTTTTAGAGAAAAGTTCAATAAATTTATTTTTGAATTCTAACATCTGGACTATGAGGCAGTTTTTTTTTTTTTTCCTTTTATACTTATTCCTCAAATCATAGGGCAAGTATTTTGTTGCTCACTATTTCAGGAACAATTTGGGGAATATTAATTTTATTCTAACCTAGCCCCAGATTTGCCAGGTTAATTATTGATGAGGAAGTAGAGAATGAAAAAGATTTCACATGATTTTGCTTGAGTCTTCCCATGCATTCCCCCATTCAACTTACTAATATAAAAAGAATAGTGTCTGCTTTTGGCACATGGCCCATAACCTGCTCATAATAATAATATTTCATGTTTTCCAATGGCCTTCACATCATGGATCTCAAACTTTCAAAAACCAAAAACCATACAGTACCACTGTAAACATCACAGGTCTATTTTACAAATGGTCCAACTGCAGAAATGAATCAATGAGTCAGTCTCCAGCATAAGTCTTGAGTCATTTACCACTAGAACAGTTGAATTTTTCACACATTTCATTCTCATAATCCATCTCATAAGACTAAAGACATACAAATCACAGATTGAAATTCTAAGCTCTTTAAAGAAAAAAAGCAAATGTACCAATCTAATAAATGACACTCCAAGATAGATAATCATGGTCTTTTATTGATTTTCTTGCAATTTTTGGCAGGAAGCGGTGGCTATTTTTAATCATAGATAGTAAAAGACTCAAACAGAAGCTATTAGAAAGATTTTCAACAGAGAAAAGACTGCTGCTGAAAGGAATATAGTTTCTTTCTTTCTAGTGATCTTGTAGAATTCATTCTATTCTCAAAGGCATTTGGAGGAAAGATGAACCTTCTGACACAAGAAACAAGGTCACTCTTGCAGCTCCCCAAATTGCTGTACTTATCCAGGAAGCCCATCTTGTAATAACTTCCCATTCCCACCGTCTCCCTACCTTACGAATTAGTGATTATCACTTGGTTTTCCTCAATGGAGCATCTTTCCTCCGTTTTCAACCATTTCAAGCTCCTGCTGTGAGGTTATGCTAGAAATACAGTGGCATACAAGAGAAACCTTGTTTCTGTTCTTTAAGAATGTATAGTATAGTGGGGAAGACAAATATTTTTATAAGTATTCACAAGTATCTTATTTTCAAAATGACAGATTATTTGACAGGTTCCCTTGTAGAAAAGAACTAAGGAGTTGGTCAAAACTCATTTTAAAAAATATTAAGATGCATCAAAGAGTGAAGTGC